GAATGCTAGTCATAGCTTTTTGAGAAAATTGAGCAAGAATTCTGTCGCAATTCATTTGAAAAAAAAAAGAAAAAGAGAAAAAAAGAAAAAAAAAAGAAAAAAGGTAGAAAGGAAGGAAGGAAGGAAGGAAGGAAGATAGAAAGGAAGAACGTGGATAGTTGAAAAGTGAAGATGATGTGTAGGAGAGAAAGATACATATATATATATATATACATATATACATACGTATATACACAAAAAGTGAGGAGAGAGAGAGAGAGAGAGAGAGAGAGAGTTAGGATAAGATAGGAGAGTCGTAAAGGTATAACGGAAGAAGCCGTACGATAGGGATATAAGAGACTACTATGGTACCCAGAGAATGGCTAGCGAGTGTTACAAGCACTAGGAGGACTACGACGAAGACGGCTATCGGCCGTAGCGTAACACTCCTATACCGTTGGAAGCGGCGGAGGAATCAATATCGTGCTCTGTACCCTTGAGGGGTTGCTTCCCTTCGTGCACCAGTCAAAGGCTTTCCTACGTATTTGTGAGCCTTACGCACACATACGAATAATCACGGATATGTCCTACTACCTTATGTACGCTAGCGTATAACACTTGCACGTTTGCACACACACACACACATAAATCCGTTCTAGAGATCTATCTACATCTACGTCGTGTATATATATATATAAGGAAAGGTTAACTGGAATTCTCACAATTTCGGACACTCGATAAGGTTCAACGGTAGCTTGTAATAAATATCAGAGTTAACGTAGTGCTCGATATGTTCCAACGAATTCGAAAAGAGAGAGAAGAGAAAGAGAGAGAGAGAGAGAGAGAGAGAGAGAGAGAAAGAGAACACGAGTGGTAGTGACGATAAAGGTGTTTTAGTAGCGGATCAATTTCGATGAAAAGGTACACGATAAAGTTTTCGAAGGAATGGATACCGTCGTGCTTTTCTAAGCGAATATCGATCGATGCCAATCTTTTGTGCACAATCATTCGATTAAGTCGATCGAGTTAGCTTGAAAATCGCAGTGATTATGATAATGGTACCGAGCGTGTAACTTCAAATCAGTCCTTTATCATGTGTTATTTACGAAGGATCTTCGAAGGACGACCTACGTACGTATCATTTTTCCTTGTACTTGAAAATAGTATATAGAGGTGATGGATATTCAAGATATTCCATCGCATAATATAATCTTTCTTAACGGATATTTCTCTCTCTCTCTCTTTCTCTCTCTCTCTCTCTCTCTCTCTCTCTCTCTCTCTCTCTCTCTCTCTCTCTCTCACTCTCTTTGATATAGTCTTGATTTCTCTGGAGACTAAGAAATCGGATTGATCGAGCAACGTCCTTAAAGTTATCGATAAGCGAGAAGCTTTATTTTTAATACAGGACTAGATTGTCATAAAACCATCTTTAATATTTCAACTATTTTTCTTCTTTTCGTATTAAAGAAATACCGATCCTGACGCGGTTTTAAGATACTCTTGATATTTTACTTTTGTAAGAAAAATCTTTGAATTTTATACATTAACAAAGGTAGAATTTTCAAAGAATCTGTTTTTGTCCTTTTCTCTCTCTCTCTCTCTCTCTCTCTCTCTTTTTCTCTATCCATCTCTATCTCTTTTTTTCCCCTCTTGTTTAAAGTGTTAACTTTTGCGTGTTTACGAACGTCATGGATCTTCGAATTCTTTAAGACTCTCTCGACGAGCAAGTAGATTTCGTCGAATGAGTGTTGTGATGCATCAGCTAGGGAGGAGGAAGACGTAATGGGGTCAAGGAAGCCAAATCCGTAGGGAGGTGGTACGGACAACGTAACCGATGAAGTCGCTAGTTAAAAGCCGTTCGAGATGCCGTAAGCGAAAGAGGAAATAGTCGATGTTATTTTTTTTTTTTTATCCTTTCGATAGAAGAAGAAGAAGAAGAAGAAGAAACAGAAAAAGAAGAAGATCGAAAAGCTGGATCATCCGGTGCTTCGCTACGAAGAGGAAATTGTTGTTAAAAGGATTTGTTCCAGCATCCTTCCTTTTTATCGTTCGCGCCTTATCCCGATAGCAATTAAGGAAATTTTCTTCGTCTGGAAACGATACTTTTCGCTTACGATCTTCTAGAACCACTCTTCTTTCTTTTCTCCTTTTTCATTACTTCAGTTTCATCCTCTTCGAGATGTTTTCTCTTTCTCTCTCCCTCTCCTTCTCCTTCTCTCCCTCTCTCTTTCTCTCTCTCTCTCTCTCTTTCTTTCTCTCTTTTTAAAACGAACGTACCGAGTCGTCGTCGGTATCGCTTTAAAAACTCGAAATTAGAATACACATTGAAACTTAATTCGTATTTATTTTTTTTCATAAACTTTTCTCAGAAACAAGAGATAATTTTCATTTTGAATAAATTAACGTTTCGTCGGATTCTTTTCATGTATTTACGTACATATATATATATAAATTTTTATACACATATATACGTATATTTAATATTATTATTATTATTATTATTATTGTATATAAAAATTGTTTGTGAAATCTCTACAAACGCGATTCAATATTTCATCCCGCACGATATAAAGACTTGGTAATAATGAATGATACCGTGGCAAAACGATAACAATTATTCGCCAAGCGATATGACGAATCCCTGTGAGCGCACAATGCGCGTCCGCGTTCTTGTTCCTCTAATTATACCGCATTTCATATTATAATTTATGAGGACACCGGTTGTTATAATAACCACGAACGCGCGCGCGTATCCAATTGGTTTCGTTGCGCATAAAATTTAAAGTCCGTTGATATTGGAACAATGTTACCTTTATATTTTACCTTTATATTTAATCAATTAATACAGATTAACGAAGGAAAATTTTTAATGGTATTTAATAAGCGCGTATCATTTTGATTAGAAAATGTCAACACGTTTTCGGGGTTAAGCTTGGAAATTCATGTTTTAACATTGCCAACCCAAGAGAGAAACTTCAATTCACCAACGAGATTTTCAAAATACAATCGCTAAATGGCGGTATGCGTGCCTTCGGCTTCTACAAAGTACAGTCGTATCCCGAAGGTACAACGTGCAATTTACTAACGCCAAAGCACTCCGCGGGAAAGCGGTTGAAACGCCGACAAACGCAAAGGGTTCTCTGTAAACTCGGTTTCAACGAAGATCGCGCGCTTACCGTACGCTTCTCTTCACGTTTATACGCGAGCGAGTGAAACGAACGACGCGCGCACACACACACACACACACACACACACACACTTACACCTATACCTACACACATACAGGCGAGATCGCATAAGATTGTTCACCAAGCGAAGGACGAATTTTTAAAACGGTATACACCACAACAATGCGAAAATCAAAAGCTAACGAACTTGACGTTTTTTTATTCCTCTTTTTTCTTTTACTTTATTTTCTCTCTCTCTCTCTCTCTCTCTCTTTTTTTCCTTTTTTTATTCTTTTTTTCTTTGAAAAATTCTACTACTGCCGTTTCAAAAGCAAACGTCGAGAGGACACGAGCGAGGAAAGGAGAAAGAGAAAAGAGAGTGCATAAAAAATTGGATACAATCCGTCTGTACTTTTTTTTTTCGTTTTTCAAGCAACAACACATTCATTCGAACATTCTCTTTAATATACCGATACGGGATTTCTGCCAAGTCGTTATTTCTCTTGCGCGTATAATTTTCTAGGAGAAAAGGAGGAAAAGAAAAAGAAAAAAAGGAAAAAAAAAAAGAAAAAAAGAAAAAAAGAAAAAAAGAAAAAAAAGGATAAAAGAGAGAAAAGAAAAAAAGGAAAAAACATATACACGAGAAATTCTAAAAGACGACGAGTAGGAGGAAAATGGAATGGCAAAGAATAATATCAGAAAAATTCCCTGGGATTTATCTCGCAAAACTAGAATGAGGATCGTTCGCGGATGCGATTAAAGTTACGATGAGCCGACACAGCCACGCCACTAGCCGCCAAGAGATACATAAAATTAAATAAAAGAGACATAATGAAAAAGTAGGCGGTAACTGGGAAAGGAACGAGATCTCAACTTCCGCCGACGTTCATAAACCGTCCGTATCCGCGTTCGTACCTTGTGCTCACCCCTCGTTCTTTATATTTCTCTCTCTCTCCCTCTCTCTCTCTCTCTCTCTCTCACTCTCGCTCTCGTTCTTTTTCTCTTTCTCCCTTGCCTAAGACTTTTCCATCCATTCGAAGTTTCGCAAAGTTTACGAAGGTTGTCCGACGGAGAAAACCACTAACGCTTTTAAAAGATTCGCGACAATCTTTCTAATAACAAACACCATATATATATATATATATATTTATATTAACAAACAAAAAAAAAAAAGACAAGAAAGAGGGAAAAAAAGAGAAAAGAAAAAACAAAACAAAAGAATGATTAGTCGATATCTCTAAAAATTCATATACGCTTTTTGTTTATTCATCGGATACCAAACTCCTTCAGCCAATAATATTCACGATATATAATCCATCATGAAGGTTAATAAAAATTTAAATTCTTACCATCGAGATTCTTAATCGACTATTCATAAGGCATCGATACGATAAGTCGCCGAGATATTCTTTCCTTGCAAGCACCAGATTGATCGACCGATCTAGTGACTCTTGCCGTCGTATAAACTCCCTTGCTCTCCTTTTTTTTTCTTTTTTTTTCTTTTTTTTTTTTTTTTTCTTATTAAACCTTCTTATTTCTCTTGCTCTCTCTCTCTCTCTCTCTCTCTCTCTCACTTTCTGCGCGCGCGCTCCCGTTGGCAAAGAAAATTGCCTTGTGAAATTTCGTCGGTGTTACGACGGAAAATACGACGAGTTCCTTCAAGTTTTCCGAAGGTTTTTGAGAAAAGAAACGAACCTTCGTTATAACGTTACGGCGCGTTACCTATAGGATATTATTTTACCGTTTCACATAAGTACGTTTCGAAATCATAAAAATATCTTATGATTTCACAACCTTTGAAAATATCATAAAAATTCTCTTAACTCCATATAACCGACAAAAATACCATATACATAACTAGAATATATAATAAATCAAGAATTTATTAGGAGTTAAAAAGCAGTAAAAAGAAAAAGGGAGAAGACAAAAAAGCAAACAAAAAGGAAAAAAAAAGAGAAAAAAAAGAGGAAAAAAAAAGAAAATAAAATAAAATGAAAAGAAAAGGGAAGAAAAGAGAAATCCGGTTTTTAACACGATTCGTTTTCAAACGTAGAACACAAGTAGATTCGGATCGAGTACAACAGGGATAACCAACGATATTCACGATGTCTCTCTCTCTCTCTCTCTCTCTCTCTCTCTCTCTCTCTCTTTTCTTTTCTTTTATGAGACTTCTCGCGAACACGCCTACGCTCGATATCCGCTTATTTAATTTCCTGCGGAACCCAACGTTGAGTATCGCGGAGTAAAAAAGAAAGAAAGATAGATAGAGAGAGAGAGAGAGAGAGAGAGAGAGAGAGAGAGAGAGAGAGAGAGAGAGAAGGAGAAGAATAAAAACATTGCCTCTATAGATCCTCATACGTACCCACGAACAAGAAAAATACATGTGATATTACTATTGGTAGGTGCATTGTATGGTGCAAAAGTCTGTTTCCAATGGAATAATTAGATTCAAGGCCAAGCGGGACAATAGCTTGCCCACTTAAAGCCCGGTCTTGCCCGGATGCACGCAACGTTTTGCTTCGAGCCTGACTAAGCACCTACTCGTACGTAAGCGCAAACTCGCTCTCGTGTCTCCAGATCGCTCGGCCACGTTTTCTGCTTTCAATGCTTTTCTCGCGAACTTGATCTTCTCTCCCCACTACCTCCTATACTCTACCCTAACCTATTTCACCCTTCCCCATCTGATCCCACTCACTCACTCACTCACTCACTCACTTTCTCTCTTTCACTCTGTATCTCTCATTTACTTGCTCTCGAGTTTTTATATATAGCCCTAGTTCTCTTTCATCGAGAAAGAAATTGACCTTGAAATCTTACAAGATTTTCTATCCTACTTCTAATTATATAAGAATAAACGTTTCTAATATTAGATATAAGGAAATTATAGATGATTTATATAGATTGTCGTCAATTTGATCCCCGATAAAAATTGATAAAGGATAACGAAGTTTTAATAAAGAGATTAAAAAAGAGAAAAGAGAGAGAGAGAGAGAGAGAGAGAGAGAGAGAGAGAGGGAGAAAAGAACGAACGATTACATTATAAGATCGAACAGTCGAGTTTTCTCGGTGAGTACGACGTGGAAGAAAGCCAGGAAGGAAGATATGCAAATGGAGGAAACGAGGGAGAGACGAATTAGCCGGATATCGGCCGACTAATGGATATTAGAATTCTCTCTTAAGGATTACGTTCGTTTCCTTCCGTCGGACGATTCATCCCCCTTCGCGCGACTTGATATATGCATTTGACGGGATACCATTTTTCGAAACTTCTTCTTCTTCTATTTCTTTATCGTCTTTTCCTTCTTCCTTTTTTTCTCCTTTAAAAATCAGTCAACGAAAGAAGAAATTCGATGAAAATATTTGCCCTAATATTTCATGATAAAAATTTTACCTATAAAGCCTGACGAATGCATAATAAGTGTGCCGGTTTATCTCGATAACTCTTTTAGGTTCAAGCGAATTACCTGCAACAGAAAAGAAGAGAATAACTTGATTAGAAGATTAGAATTTCGTAATAATCGAATAGATTGGGGTTGTGTCAGAGAGAGGGGGGGAGGCAATAAAATGATATTATAATGTAAAAATTAATATGAAATGTATATAATACAAGAGGATAATTTATTCTCGATCGACAATGCCGACAACAGTTGGCACGATATCGTACAGTTTCACGATACAAATGTCACTTACAGAGTACTCCGAGTGAAAAGAGGATAAGAGAGGGAGAGAGGGAGAGAAAGAGAGTCGCGAACGAACAGTGACGTTTGCCCTACACGGCCATTAAGACGATAATGGACGGTAATTAGGTGCGGCGAATTTACCTCCGAATCCAGCAATTAACGTTGTCCTCCTCCGAGGCTAAGGGAAGAACTACGAGTAGAAGAGAGAAAGAGTAGGATGAGGTGGTGGTTGAGGAAAAAGAGGTGAAGGATGAAACGAACGAGCGAGAGTGGACCAACTCTCTGTTAAATCCAAAGAGGATAGAACAGAGGAAACGTCCTTGCTGGAAAACTACAGGACTGTGGCAGCTGTTAAATGTAATTTGACATTACGAAAGTTATGCTGCGCGTGAAAGCACGTGACGTCTCTTTCTGTTGACCTACTTTTAGGTCAAACATTAAAAAATAAAAAAATATTTTTGAGAGAGAGAGGGAGAGGGGTGGTGGGGAGGGGGGAGGGAGAGGACATGACTGACGCTAACAAATAAATTGTCCTTAAAAACGAGTCACCATTATCTTCGACTTTTAAATGATATATCATAAAAATGTTAAATATTTTATAACCAAATATAACATTATTTTTAACGTAATCATATACGTCAGGATCATGGAAATGAAATTTCTCTTATTAATTAATCGTAACAGAATGAAAAAGATATATCACGTTAATCTTTTAAATCACCGATTGGTATTCTCCTACCTGTTTATATTCATATTTGAACGAATACGCGACAGATTTACGTATGAAATCGACCCACCGCAAAATAGCTATTCTCGCGCTAGTATCGATGCTTAATTAACGGTATCGTTAGTTTTCGATGATCCGAAGTTACATGAAAATTACACTATGAGCTACTTTAAATGACATACCGTTGGATGCATATTCATTGTACACCTGTGATCATAAACGACATAATAGGCCGATAAACTCATATTTTTTAAAATAATGATAATATCCATCTAGATAGAATCAAGCAACGTACAAGGCCTTTATGGATCGTACGTAAATAATGACAAAAATGATAAAAAATTTTTACGAATTAATTGTTTATCGTTAAACTAATTTCTCGTATCTTTGGTACGTATGTATTAATCTAATCAACGTTGAAAGGGTAATGACAGATTGAAAAGAGAAACTGGGCCGTATGGAAAGAGAACCGTTTCTCACCGTACAGAATTTATGACCTTATGGAGAGGGAAACCTTCGCTACGTGTGGAATTTATTACACGCGCGGCTAGATACAATTTAGATCGGATACACGAAATTTAATTTATTATTTGACTATTCCGAAGACCGATGAGATTGATAAAAAAAACGATGGAACTGATATGATTTATCAGGGCTGTCTCATCCTCTGCGTAAAGTTTACCGTTAATGAGAAATATATCAATGAGTGAAATGATCAGGTGCTTTTTAATTATAATTTGAATAGGTTAAAACACAAGGAAAATCAGGGAAACGTATACATATACATACGGGTAGATTCATTGGGACGTGATATCGTATGGTAAAGGAGAGCGAATGAAAAGACAATGAAATTTAAGACGACCTCGAGGATGTATTTCGTTCTCGACAAGAGAAAGAGAGAAAGATATATAGAACGAGAGAGTAGTTCCAGCAGACGAGTTATAAAAGGCAAAGCGGGTGAATGGACGCGGGAGAGAAGATATGGTGGAGAGAGAGAGAGAGAGAGAGAGAGAGGGAGAGAGAGAGAGAGGGAGGGAGGGCGGAAGAGAGAGAGAGGGAGAAAGAGGGAGAGAATACTCTAGCAGAAGAGAAATAAGATGCCAGGAAATTTTCTCAGACGGCTCGCCGGGCGGCTTTCGTTCCGTGAAAAATCTTGCGTCTCGAGAATTATCGTAAAGTGGGTTACTCGTTTCGTCAGAAGCGTGAAAGGGTGAAAGGTGAAGGAGAAAGAGAGAGAGAGAGAGAGAGAGAGAGAGAGAGAGAGAGAGAGAGAGAGAGAGACGGAAGGGCGACTAAGGTCGTGTTCACGATGAGAAGGGCGGAAAGTGCTACTGAAAAATAAAACGATGCCGTGGCTGCCTCTATGTATTCGCGTTGAGGAAGGAGAAAACGATAGAGACGAAAAAAATTCCTTCCATTTTTAAAACGTCTCGACGAATTCTTGTCCTTTTTCGAAAGAATCCATCGCATGATCTTTTATCGAATATCTAATGATAATAATGTAAAATATTTTATATATTCATTTATGTATACCTGATATATCTTTCCTTTATATATCCTGATATATATGATATAATATATAATATATAATATATATAATATATATATATATATATATGTACATCAAGAATTTTTATGGATGTTTAACGTTCTATGAACAAAAAAAAAAAAAGAAAAGAAATAAAGAGAGAGAGAGAGAGAGAGAGAGAGAGAGAGAGAGAGAGAGACGAAAACATAGAAACGAACGTATCGATTGAATTGTCTGTAAAATTTTCTCAACAATGTCTTTTGGATTTCGTTACTCGAAGGAACAACCACCTCTCGTCATCTCGAGGATCGTCGTCGACGTAGTAAAGTACGTCGCTCGTTCGCGCGAGGATGTCTTGTAAGGAAAAAAAAAAAAAAAAAAAACAAAAAAAGGAAAAAGAAAAAGAAAGGAAGAAAGAAAGAAAGAAAAAAAAGGAAGAAAGAAAGAAAAAAAGAAAAGGAAGAAAGGAAAAAAGGAACTCGAGATAGGATGAAAGGAAGAAAACGTTGAGGAAACAGAAAGAAGACGGTCGAAGAGAAGAGGAAGTGGAGGAGGAGAAGGAGGAGGAGGAGGAGGAATGACGTTGGAAAACCGAATTCTATGTAGTTTCCTTCGTCTTTACACGGTGCGGTGAGTAGTATGCATCCTTTTCTAACTTTGTCTCTCTTTCATCCTTTTTCTTCTCATCTCGAAGCAACCCCTCGACCAAGCTTCGAGCCAACAGCCCCTCTGGCTTGGAATAAGCGACACGATGAAGGAGGAGAATCGTATTTATGAGAGTTTGCTTGGTTCTGACCGAACCACTCTGATCTCCTTTTCTCTCTCTCACTCTCACTCTCACTCTCACTCTCTCTCTCTGTCTCTGTCTCTCTTTCTACGTACCTTCATCTATTTATTATATATGTATGTAACATCATACATGCGCATCATTATCGTCAATGAGCTGACAAAAAAATTACTATCTTTCTTCCATCCAATAAGTAAATAATTTTTCGATTTCTCTGTATGATATCACAGTGCACATTTTTAATAATCTAAAAAACTTTCTGTGTTCTTTGAGAAGAAGAAAAAAATAGAAAAAAAAAAAAAGAAACAGAAAAAGGAAAAGGAAATGTGGATATATTCCAATAGTTAGAATCACTAAGAAGGAGGATCTATAGAAGAAGAAGAAGAAAGATAAAAAGGAGGAGGAGCAGGAGCGGGAGAAGGGGGAGGATATAAAGGATGGGAAGAGGCATGCAACGTAGCGAGAAAGAACGTCGCATTGGGAAGAATGCGGCCGCGAGGAAGGAAAGAAAGCGTTCGCGTGCATCGTAACGCGCTGTGCACTTCTGCCTGGCCCTGAATGCAACGAGCCAACGATTACTCGGATTGTACATATACGCGAGTGGAGTGCATCGACCGACCTTGCGATCTTCAACCCACCTTTCCGGCTTGGCCGCTGCCTGTTTGTTAACATATTGATCGTAAGTAAATTGAATTTGTGAATTAAACGTGATCGAAGCGTAATTCTTGAAAACGAATCATTTTTGTTGGGGATCGATCGAGAGATCGATAAAAAAAGAAAAAAAAAAAAAAAAAAAAAAAAGAATTCGGGAAAAAAATTAAAAAAAGATATTTCCAACTCGTCGAATCTTCCGTTCGAGTTATTCGCTGTTAGACGTGATAACGGAATAGAATTTTTGGGAAAGAGATAAAAAAAAAAAAAAAGAAAAAATAGAAAAAAATGGATCAAGCAAAAATTCGACCTGCCGGCATTTCCGCTGTGAGTCGCAAAAATCCTTCGAGTGTCGCGGAAACGCCGGTTATCCGCCCTCAAAATATGCATTTAGAACGGTGAAACGATTTTCTCGAGAATGCGCCGTTGAAAAATCGCGAGTGGATTTTCGACGCTCTTATACGAAATCTCTCTCTTTCTCTCTTTCCTTCTTTCTTTCTTACTTTTCATGCTATTCCGCAAAACTTCAAAATTTACAATTGAATAGAGCTTTCACGGCTACATTCGACCATTTTACGATTATACATTTACGTGGGTTTTAAGGTCATAAGTCAAATCCATAATTTGTATAATACGAATATATCCAATTCGAAATATGACACGAAACGAGGATCGAAACGACGACATTTTCTTCGTGAAAAAGAAACAAGTTTCGTAAATTGAATAGAATCAAAGATCTATGAAAGATCAAGTTTTTCCGGGACGACAAGTGTCTCATAATCGCATCCTTCGTTCTTTCCTTTTCCCAACATAATCTGGTATCGCTACGGGCACTCGTAGGATGCACATCTACGCGTATGCAGTGAATATATGGATGCATATACGTGTAATGTCCCGTCGAACCCCACACGTCTCTGTGCGACCAAGCGTGTGATCGATGACATCCGTATGCGAGTTTCCTTTTCCGAAAGAGAAAAAGAAAGGAAGAAAGAAAGAAAGAAAAAAAAGGGAGAAAAAATAAAAAGAAGAAGAAACAGGTAGTAAAAATTCCTAGCTATCTTCGGCATCTCGAGAAAATATCTACACCCTTC